TAGCGATAAGATGGAACGCTAAGCTCTGTCTCCATCAATATGGTGAGCAGTTTGTGATTAAAAGAAGCAACATTCAGCCCCGCTTAATGAATGGATCAAGTGCATTTTTACGAGACCTCTAGATTAATTTTCATTACAAACAGAAAATTGGATGCCTCCCAAATATTTCCCCAATGATCTTGAAAACACTTCCGAAGACGAATTGGTGCCGGGGTCATTTCCATTCCGTAAGTAGCAGAAGAAAACAAAAAGTTGCTAATAACGTGACAACAAGTCTGAAATGCTCTAGCTTAAACGAGCTCATACACTTTCGAACATAAAGCACAACATTACACAGAGTCCATTAATGCAGGTTCTAATTTACAGCTGCCTGCCTGCTTCTAGCTAAATTATGCACTGAGCGAAGAAGATTCTCAGTAGGGACATATAAGCATTTCATGTTTGCAAAACAGTTCAATGAGCCCCATTCACAATCCTGAACATGCACATGGGTACATTCATGGAGAAAATGTTTACATGTTCCCAAATGTGTGGGCTCATTTAAAAGAGTTCATGCTTTGTACACTTTCACTGAAGGGGGAAAACCTACATTTAGGGGGTACAGCTGGAAAAAATGTGCATTGTCCCTAACTGAAACTCTATTTTCCTCACTGAATGCACACATATAAATGCGCACACAAACTCATGTACAAGAACCGACGTGGACCAAACTGAGCTTCATGGGTGGCAGCTCCAAGACCTTAACTGGGAGAGGTCTAATAAAAGATGTAAGTAATGCAGCTCGTAAGTTTAAGCCAGGGCTACATGGGCCCAGGAACAGGCAACCAAAAATATCGGGTGCTCAGAACACTGGCAGCACAAAGGAGTGGAGAACAGAATACAGGGCTGTTTGGTCTGATCCAGCAGGGTGTTCCATTTCCGAAGGCAGCCAACTGGGTACCGTTAGAGCAGCCATTCCCATGCTCTCATGTATGTTGGGAGATAACAGCTAATGCATTGTAAGAAAATTAATTAGAAATTAAAGGCTCCCATGAGGAGAGCACAAACCCCCTACAGCTGAGTGGTTTCGGTGTGACTGGGTTTCCCATCTCCCATTCAGCCTCTGCTGGGATGTGGATGAGCCATTCTGCATTAGGCCTAGTTTGATCCGTCTGTCACTGTGAGAAACTAAGATTTGTGAAAAGTTCCTCCATGCAGTAAACAAGTTTAACTGCAGGTGGCGGCATTCTCAGTGGAGGAGCTCCAGGCACTGGCCTGAACTAAACGATGGGGAAAAGAGACTTCTCTCTAATGTACCTGTACATAAGAAGGACCCATAATAGAATGCTGCAGAGTGGAAGGCCCCTGTTTCAGCTTCCTGCAAGCCAGTTCTGGCCCCTTCCAGAATACCACGTTCAGTGAAAGCTTATGTTTCCAGCACCAGTAGGGTGCTTTTACGGATTCTGGGTTTTAGCCTGAAATTTGAAGGAGCTACCCATAATTCAAAACCCTATCCCAGTGCATGGGAATCACTACCCACTGCTGACTACATGGCACGTCCTGGCCCCAATTTTCTGAGGTGCCTGTCTCCAACAGAGAGGATTCTGTGACTGCTGGTTTTGCTTACCCATCACTGTGCTATTTGAGGGAAAGAATCCTCCACTGGAAGTTTTCTCCCTGACAGACTGTGGGCTTCTGCAAACCGTAGGATTCCTCTGAGCCCACTCATACTTCCCTCTTGTGTGTGGATGGGCCCACTTGGATGCATTCGGTGCCACGCTCAGGAGAACTAACCTGCTATTAGTATATGGGATTTATCACAGTCAGGTAGCTAAAATAGCATGCATTACAACCACCGCTAGTAGTTGGCTCTGTAGCGGACCACAGTTTGCTGCTCTGCAGAGCCCTCTTCCAAACGGCCGAGTCATACTGACACAGCGGGTCTCCCGTAAGTGGGTTGCACAGAGCGGGTTTCTTGTGACCAGTCTGCCCTTCTCCAGCAGGAGTTTCATTTACAAGAGATTGAGTGAGTCGCTATAAAGGATAGCACTGATGGAAAATTGATTTCTTTGCTTTACCCCAGCAATCCATTTGCTTGCACGCTTACTTTATAAAAAAGAAAGAAAAATACAAGGTAGGCAGAGCAAAGATTACACAGGCAGGAAGAGAATTAGAGACGTTTTTCTTCACGATACCCCAGCTCCATTCACTAAACTTAAGGCTAGATTGTAAGTTATATGTGAAACCTGCGGGAGGAATTTTGTGCCATCTTCTTTTTAAGAACCAGTAAAAGGGCATTCCTATGTATTTAGGGAAAAATGGTCTAGCACTTCTTAACTTTGGATGTATTCTGATTTTTAAAAACTGAAGCAAAATTCTCATGGGGCAGACCCATGAGAATTCGCTGGGTGGTATCATCACCGTCACCGTCACCATCACCTCTATACTGCCACACTGCCAAAGCTGTCTGGGTACACGGCATGGAGAGGGGCAGATATGCAGTTATCCATAAGAGCATAACTGCATAGGAAGAACAGTTCTGATCAGGCCAAGGGTCCATCCGGTCCAGGATTCTGGGCTCACAGTGGCCAATCATGAATGGAGTGGCTTTCGCCCACCCAACTTCCCCAGCACCTGATGGATGTAAGGTATCCATGGAGACTGGTCCTTTTAATGGCTCTCCTGTAGCAGAGACAGTAAGTATCGTGCACCAGTTGATGAGGAACATGGGCAGGAAGGTACTGTCGCTCTCCTGTCTTCCTCTTGGGAACCTGTGGGGCAGCTCTCTGGCCTTCGTGTGAACAGAGCATTGAACTCAATGGACCATGGTTGGGTCCAGCAATGCTCTTCTCGTTCTTCCATGTTCTTACTGCCTCTGGTCCTGCCAGTATGGCAGAGCCATCAGGACTAGTGGCCATCAATAGCCTCCTTCTCACTGATTTTGTCCAATCCCCTTTAAATTTTGGTGCACAACCTCAGAGAGCCTCGGTTATTGGGCAGTATAAAAATGAAACAAGCAAATAAAGCCGTCCAAATCACTGGGCTTTGCACCATCTTGTGGCAGCAAATTCCACAGTTTAATTCTGTGCTGGTTGAAAGGGTTATTCCTTTTCAGTGTCCTGAAACTTGAACAAACAGTTGAATGGGATGAACCCACTGCACTCTGCTATTATGGGAAATGGGGAGTTTACATCTCACTGTGCTTTCTCCTCTTCTGTGCCATGTCTCCCCTTATTTCCCTACTTTCTAACCTGATCAGTCCTAGATGTTTCAGCCTTTCCTCATAGGAGGTTGGTGAACCAGAGGTTTCACCCCCTTGATTATTTTAATCACCCTTCTCTGCACATTTCCAACTCCACAATACACTTTTTAGATGTGGCGGCCAGAAATATGCACTGTATTCCAAGAATGGCCGTACCACAGATTCAGATAAGGGCAGTATGACAGTGGCAGGCACGTGCTCTTTCACATTCCTGATTTCGGCCAATACAGAATTTTCTTGTTTTCACAGTGGGTCAAACCTGTATTGAGCTGTCTAGCATGACCACAAGATCTCTTTCTCGATCAGTCACTGCTACCTAAGATCCCAACAATGCCCCATCTATGGAATGCGCTCCCCAGAGAGGTCTGCCTGGCACCATCGTTATTTGTTTTTCGGCACCAGGCGAAGAGCTTTTTATTGAAACAATATTTTAACACCGTTTAATATTATCTATAGGTTTTAATTTCCAGCCAGAATGAATCGGGGTTTTTAATTTGTGTAATTTATATTTTTTGCATTTGTATTGGGCACTATGTTGTCTATTTATGTTTATTTATGTAAGCCGTCCCGAGGCGTTAAGCGATGGGATGGCATATAAAAACTCTAAATAAATAAATAAATGTGAAATTGGGATATTTTTCCCCTTGTGCATTTATTTAGACATCGAACTGTATTTATTTCAAGAAAACATTTACTGCCCCCATTTCCCAATTCTGAATTCATACAAGGTGATTCATCCACTAGAAACTCACCACCCGCAAAAACCACAGACCAAATTGAGAAGTGTGCAACTTACATAAACTCACAACTGGCCTTCCATCTTATTTGTAGATATGTTAATCACACTTATTCCCATTAGCTTTGATCTGACTATGCTGATGGAAGACATATCTCAAGACACAACTTCAATGTTAGAACCCCACAGCACAAACAGATGTTGATGTCAGAACGCCACAGCAGAAACAGCTTCATGGGCAATGACTCTAACATCAAGGGAGTAACTTGATGTATCTCAACTTTCATATTCTCAGATGACTTCACAAACCATTGGCACATGCTAGGGCCCTATAAAACACTTGAGGCCAAGCTGGCTTCTTAGGCTGGGCAATTGGACGCTAGAGGTGGGTTGGCACAGCACAAGAAGCCATGGTGAAATCTTACTATGGTTGGTTTGCTGTGTAGTCTTGACCTAGTTCTGGAGCTCCAGCATGGTAGGATTAGTTTTGTTAAACCATGGACAGAATCAATGGTTTGTTCCGTATTTCACTGTGGCTTCTCTGGTCATCTGGACCCAGAAGTGACATTTAACCATATGGAAACACCACAGAGTTTCCTGGCAAGAGAGTCTACAGAAGTGGCCACTCCTGCCTTTGACCTTTACTGCCCTCAGAACTCAAGCAACAGATGTGTCATTGCTCACTTTACTCCCATTGGCCAAGTGATGTAATCATCTCCCAGTTTCCTTTTGGAGAAAGGGAGACAAAACCAGAATAAAGAGAGGAAGAAGGAGGGAATTGTTGCAAAACTGATAAAAATCTCTCTGGGGGGCTGCAGTAGCTGGGAAGTGCCACAAATATGCACGTACACTCAGGCATGGGGAGGGAGGGACCCACTGCAGGATCGCAGTGGACCAATCAAGGGGAGACTGCTGTGGTTCATGGGCAAGAGTAGGGAGAGGACAGAAATTTTGCTCAGGGGGACTGCCGGGATGCATGGTGAGGCTGGGAGGATGGCACGGGGAGCATGGAACATAAATTACCTGAGTCGTCCATCCTCTGCTGCAGCTCCTCCTGGTATAATCTTAGTAATAAATATTCCAGGGTCATCCCCGATGTGCGGGTTATCTGTTCCTCCTGCAATACTGAAGCCCAGACCAGAATTACCCTGAAAAAAGGAGAAAAAGAAAAAGAAAACACCGTCTGTTACAGAAAGATCAGCCGCCACAATCCAAGTTAGACTGTTTAATTGTAACTTCAAGAGCATCTGGCTGGTTAAACCAAAGCTTTGGGGAACGCTTGGTCCTGAAATCAAAGTAATGGTGAGCTTTAGCAGGAAGAGCAGATTCTGCCCACAGAATTTTAAGTGCCATGTATTGATTCTCTCCCATTTGCTAAAGGGTTGTGCTGTCTTGGCAGAAGAAGCTTTTAAAGTGCACAACTTCAATCACCCAAGTTGAGTTTGTCATTATAAAACATCTCTTGCCTTTTCTAAGATAATTTGTAGAGGGATTTCAGCTTCTTTTCACACTATTTCAAAAGCACCTAAAAGATAAATAAATACTTCCTCAAGGGTTTGCTAAATTCCTTTGGTTAGAAATGCTCTTTCAAGGGACAGGGTGGAATTCCATGGGGGACCCTTTCCAAGATGAATACAGCCAAGGAATCCAGCCAGACTAGGCACTGCGGGACGAGGCCCCTGTTACTCATGTTCCTCCTTGGTTTAGGTATTGGGGACAAACAGCGTGTAAGGGAAGAATGGGATGCAATGGGATGCAATGGGGGAAAACTTTGGTTCAAAACAGTCCTGTCCCTCCTGCAGGGCAGAAATTCTTGCTTCCTGGAGTCTGACATGTGGGCAGGAGTGATGTGGGGTAGGCATCCCTTGGATTTCCTTGGCTTGGCTGCCTGGACTGCGGTCTGCTTTCCCTCTGCCCTAAATCCACTGTGCACTGTGTGTTTATATGGGCGTCTGGCAGGAGCTGGGCCTAAGCGAGTCTGCCAGGCCGGCTTGCACACACGCAGACCAAGGCCCACAGATCCACTGCGGGATTCTGCTTCCACACAAGTGACTTGCAGGCTTCGTATACTTAGAATGAAGTAAGATAAAGTAACATTCCCCAGCGTCTGTGGACAGACTCACTTCCTAGCTAGGGCCAAGGGCATGATTGAAGTCCATTGAGCACGGGAGAGCTGGGTTCTGCTTGGCTCTTCACAACCCTAGAAGAAAACTGTTCCGGCAAAGCTGTGGACAAGCCATGGAACAATGGACCAGTATGAGAAACTGCGATCGGTGTTACTTCTTCTAGCCAGGTGCTTCCTGGATCCAGAATGTCCCCAAATGCCTGACAAGGCCCAGGGAACACCCGCCTCCTTAAACTATGGAAAGAAACCTTTCCACAGGTTTTTGGACAACTAGAGTGTCTTCAACCAATCAGAAACACATTTCTAGTTGGCACCTAGAAAGCAGGAAAAAATCCAGTAAGAAGCCAGGGAAGTTTAGAGGAGGCTGAATTCTAGGAGAAGGAAGTCTGTCTGTCTGTCTGTCTGTCTGTCTGTCCGTCCATACAGTTTAGGCTTTAGCTAACAGATTATTGCTAGCTTGTGGGTCTTTGGAGCTGTGCTGACCTTCAGCAGGGAATTTCTCCTTTTGGCCATATTCTTTCTTCAGTTTTAAGGCTGCAGCTCAGCATCACTTCCAATCCAGCTTTTTGGGGCTAGAGTTCTGGTTCCCAGAAAACTTGGAACAGACTTAGCTTTCCCCCAGCTAGTTTTGAGACTTTGCAGTGGGCTTGTTATGCCACACAGAACACACATTGCTATCTGCAACTTTCATAATTTATCCTCACTTGTCAAGGTTCAGTACATTCATTATGCATGCAGGATGCCTCGAGAGGGAGACCCCCCCCCACACCCCTCCCCCCTGTGAGTTCTTGCAGGCCAGCTCCTGGACATGAAGGTAGCTATCACTAAACCAGCCCCTTCCAGTTGTCTTGAACTAGTGAGGTTCACTGTCCAGAAATTAACCCGACTGCACCTGGTTGATGAACAGCAATTAAGCCATGAGCTATCAAAGAACCAGGACCACCATTCCATCTGAAAGACTTAGCCCTACAAAGCAGAGTGTGACCCATAGCTTAATTGTAGGCTGCAGAAACAAACAAACAAACAAGAATTTTATGGTTTCCAAATTCTGGGCCAAGAAAGGCTGAATTCTGAGTTCCATATACAAGAAGCATATCTGCATGAAGGACTCCCTGGAGAAGAGCCTAATGCTGGGAACAACTGAGGACAAAAGAAGAAGGGGACGGCAGAGAATGAGGTGGCCAGATGGAGTCACTGAAGCAGTCGGCGTGAGCTTAGGTGGACTCTGGGAGATGGTGGAGGACAGGGGGGCCTGGAGGAATGTTGTCCATGGGGTCGTGATGTGTTGGACACGACTTCGCGACTAACAACAACAACCTATATGTCATAATCAACTCTGACTTTGTGAGTCATGGGGAGCAGCAAGGATATTTTCAGAACAATACAGTTGCACCACTGCCACTGGTAATCTTCTTCTCCACCTCCCCAACTTCTAAGGGCTCAGCAAGCATAGCCATGCTTTCATGAGGTCTAGAAAGTCTGTTACTTTCAAAATTATGCTGGTAGAACTTTTCAGGAAATTTATTTCTGCACTGTACGCTGTGCAATTCATTCAAGCTGAACTTGCCAAAGTTCTCCAAGTTGTATCATGAAGCTTGTTCCAACTCAAGTCTGAACCTGATCATGAATTTAGTTTTTTTCTTTACATGTAAATCACATTTATTACCATGAGTATTTTCCAAGAAATGTGCACCAATTATGCACTGTTTTGATATGGACAAAATCTGCTTCCCTGAGTCAAGGGTGTTTGCACAAATGTATGAAATGTGCTCTGTTTGAAATGTGTACATGCTGCTGAACACATTTTTCCTTTCCATCTCCATGAATCACATGACAAGCTTGGAAATGTGCAGACTTCAATCATAGATTGAACACAGTCTTAAATGCAATCTGGATGGTGTGGGCTGGGCAAAATTCTGATAAAAAAAGGAACAGAAATGTTCAAATGGAGATAATGACCATCTAGTCCTATCCAGTTTCACAGCTCTTGGTTCCTTCCAGCAGAGTAGGCACAGGTAGTAGCATTTGGCATTTTTAAGTCCCTCTCAAGAGCTGTTTTGTGTTTGTGTTTTGCATGGTTTTGCTGCCAATTCATTTTGCAGATCTTATGACTGCACCACTGAAAATACAGCGTTGAGCAATGGTGGAGCAAGAAACCAGATGCATCCACCAAAATGTACAGTAGCTAACTATAATCAAGCTTGAAATGTTTACACAGAAGCTTGGAGCACTTGCCAATCAAAAGATGACTTCCTCACTATATTCAAAGTCTAAATTAAGAAATACTCGACTGTAGGAAGGCCAAAACCCTCTGCCTGGAAAGCATCTATCCTTCCCTGGTCACAGGAATAGGAGCTCCTGTCCCCCACCTTCAAGGCTGGATTCATAGGTAGCATGTGATAAATAGCCACTCATCCCAAACTGAAAATGCAATTTGCTCCTCTGGACAAAGGTACCAAAGGAGAAACTGGTTCCTAAAGCATCATGACGGGTCTTGGTGGGTAAGGGGCATGTACCCCAAGTTATATAAGTGTTGTAGAAGTTTAAACCTGGTCTATCAGAACTTAAGCATCTACCAGCTTTTGCATTTCCTGATTGTCCCAATACAGTTCTAGGCTCAAAAAATGCTAAAAATAGGGCAATGTTACAGATTTTTAAAGAGCACATGAGATAGCGAGGAGGACAAGTATTCGGTGCAGTGCCAGCTCCGTGGTTCCTCATATCCATGAGCAAGACACCCTCCATCGTGCAGGTTGCTGTTTCTGTGCCATTGTCACCCGCTGCTTTGGCCCCTCACTGACATACCTGCTGGAGAAATCCTTTGCCGTGGAGAAACTAGAGTGCCCAGAGGCGGCAACCCCAAGGAGCCGGTCAGGAGATCCGCGGGAGCCTGGGCCCCCAGGGAGATCACCACTAGACCATACCCACAGGGGGAGAGGCATTTTACTTATTTAGTATTAAATTTATATCCGCAACCAACTGGTCCAACAGGACTCTCTAGGCGAATTACGGTTTTGCCTTTGAAGCAGAGGTTGGGTGACCCCCTAGCTCTGGAGGCATCTCAAGAGGCATGACAGCAAAGCTGCTTTCAGAAGCGCTCAACTACATGCCATGAGCAGAACTGGGCATGGAGCCGGGGGTCAGACTAGATGGCCTGGGGGACCCCTTCTGACTCGCTCTCTGTTTCTGTATTATTATTATTCTTCTATTACGCAGGAGAACCGACGGAGACCAGGCTCTCCTCCCAAGTGAGGCTTTGTCCAGTGTACCAAGCATACTGCAGCTGAGCCTTGGGCGCGGCTTAGGAAGCTCGGACCAGCTTTAGCCTGGCCAGTGCTGGAACAACACTGTTCTCTCGGTTCCGGGGCTTTTGAGCTTTGCCTTGTGATGGCCCTCCGTGTCTCGCGATGGCTCCTCTGAGCCTTGTACTCTCGCTTCTGGCCTGTATACTGTGACGGCTTGACTGGACATTGACCCTTGCCGGCATCTTGATCACTCCTGCCTTAGTCTGATTCCCCACTGAACGGAACTGTGCTTAGCCCGTTTCATCGCCTTGCCGTTTGGATTGCCCCAGAATTTGCTCCAATGCTAACGGATTCAGCCATGGCTGGCACTCATCCTTTTCAGAAACACAGAAACAGAGCGAGTCCGAAGGGGTCTCCTGGGCCATCTAGTATGACCCCAGCTCCAGCCAGCTCCACTCACGACAGGCCTCCCATGTGCATGCCGCCCTTTTTGCTATCGATGCGACCCTTGCCTGCTTGGCAGGCAGAGAGCCAGCAGGCTCCACCCACCATCCTTGTTGTCTGGGTCCAAATGAGGGGCAGGTGAAGAAGCAGGCGGCAGTGCTGGAGGGTAGGGACAGCTGTGGGTGGCATTGGCCAGTGGGCTCTGCTGGGGCGCAGGCTCTCAGCAGGTGACCCACCATGGCCTGAACTGACAGGACGATGAACAATTGGGTCCTGGATCAAATCAAGCCAGAGCTCTCCCTGGAAGCAAATATAGCAAGGCTGAGGCCATCCT